CCTCGTTATCTCTAATTCAACTTGAAAGGCGAATTTCTTTGAGGAACTGAATCAAATTGATGTTGAAAGAAGATGAAATGAAGAAAAAGAAGCAGAAATGAATTTCAAATTAATATTTTTTCGGTCTTAGGTATGTCGGAAGTGGAATCACAAATGTGGATGTACCATAAATATGAAAATGAAAATAGGAAGCTTTTGCTAAGACAATAGACGAAAGAAGAAGAATAGATAAAGCAGGGAATGAATTATTACTCTATCCTTAAGTAAACCATTAAACACTCCATGAAATGAAATTAATTTATTTATATTTCCGCCAGTTGTTGTTACTTTATTTATTATACATATTTTGTTGAGTCGTTTAATGACTGCTAACTGCAAGGCATAAGTCCTTATGAAGAGAGATGTGGGGGATTAGGGAAGTAAGAAGCCATTGCAGTTTGGTAAGGTTTAGAACGCAAAAGGTAAAGAGTGTGTCTTTGATGTCAAATTTTGGCACCAAATTTAAAGGATTGATGGAAGTTTGCATCTAAATCACTCAGATAAGGTTGAAGTATGGTGAAGAAAATTCAGTTCTTATTCTATCAATGGGTAAGACTTTAATGAGCTTTATGGAAGTGAATTTACCTCAATAAACAGTCAAAACTTACTAAATGCACCCTAAACAGTCACTTATTACTGATTATTTACACTTCAGTTAAGATCCACCTCAAAAATTCGAAAATCCCTGTCATAAACTTTTCATTGTAAGCTTCTCGCTCTTTTGACAGCTACTTGCTCTTTTTGCACAAACTTAGAACAATAACCCTCAAATAAAATGTTCATTGAAATTCGTAGCTACCGGTCGACTTCATGCAATAGGTATGAAAACACATCTTTATATCTCTCTTTATGTCTTCTTCTCAGCGATGACAATAATAAAACAAAGATGACGATGACGACATGAAAAGGAAAACTTTTTTTCTTCAAATTTTTTTGCGCTCATTTTCTTCATGAATTGAAGTGTCAAAACAAGAACAAGGAAGTAGGAGCGGAAACGAAAGCATTTTCTTTCTTCATTGTTATGAAAATGTATGACATGAATTAAAATAAAAGAGTAATTAATTTAAATCTAAAACTTTGCCTTCTTCTTCCATTCATTGCTTCTTTTACTTGCAAGTTGCTTCTCGTTTTATTTTTGTTTCATTCATGTCTCTTACTGGCTCCATACCAACATTTACATACAGAGAGTGAAGGAATAAAGACTGAACAGAAAGAAGGTCAAAGTTTCTACTAATTTCAAATTATGAATAAAGTTTTGGTGTGACAGGGTTGGCAAAGATACTATGGTTCACTTATTTTAAGAATTTGAATTATAACGGTTTTGGAGAATTTGAACTTTAGGATTTTGTAAAATTTGAACTGAAACGGTTTTGGATAAATTGAATTTTTAACGGTTTCAAATGTTTTTTTTTAAATTTTATAATTCAGAATATAATTTATCAACACTGACACTCCCTTACGCTAGATCAGCACAAGCAGCACGAAAATTTAATAAGATGAAATTTTTTTTTCATGTGCTGCTTCCATGAAAATGAGCTTTTAGAGAGCTAAGCTTCATAGCTGAGAAATCTATTTTGAGGATTATTTGATTAAGGAATTAAGGATTATTGAAATAAGATGATGTCGTCATTTGTTATACTTGAGTTTTCGAGTTTTTTTTCCACCCACAGAAGATTGGGAAATAAGGATGAAAATTTGCATAATGATAAGAAGCTTTGATAGTTCGTGAATATTGAATTCATGTATTTATTTAAGGCATTTTATGAAACATGCTTTGATTGGATTTTAAATAGCTTTATTTTAAATCTCAAATTGAATAAAGTTCAATTCTCAAAGTCTCAATGTTGATGAACCAATAAAAATGTTGTTTTTGAGTTTTGCCAATAATCTCCTTTGAGGGAAGCATGTCAAGAGCATTAGAATTATTTTTGAATTTATCAATATTTTAATTTTATAAGCTATTGTGGGAAGTGAGCGATTGTTTGGAAATAAATGTTATAAGCTTTTGTAGAAGACAGTCCAAAACGGTCTTACAGTATTTAAATTCTGTCGGTTTTTTAAGTTTGAATTTTAACTGTTTGTAAAATTTGAATCTTACAGTTTTGCAAAATTTATTGGTTTATTAAAATTTGAATTTTAACAGTTTTACAAAAGAGCTATTTACATTATTTAAGAACGACCACAAAAAATTTAGAATTCAGTTCATTCATTAAAAGTTCTAAGTCCTTAATGATCATTTGAATAATGCAAAAAATTGTTTGCAAACTTAAAATTCATATAGAATATGAGCATCACCAGCAACAACAAACCCCTAAAAATAAAAACTTTTTTATTTGAATAATTATGGAAAACTTCTAAATGAAAATCATAATTTAATTAAATTAAATTAAGTAAAATTGTTTCTTCATTTAATGATTTAAGTCAACAGAAAGCGAACGAAATGAACAAAAGTTTCAAATGAAGAAGCACCAAAAATGAAGCACGTGCCAGTAAACTATCAGAATGAAAATACAAAAGAAATAAAATTCTTCAAAAATTCGATGAATTGTCGATGTCGTTTTAGTGAAAAATAGAACTGTGCAAACTGCTATTTCTATTATCACAAAATTTGAGGACACAACTGAAAGAGTGAATGCAGCTTTCACAGATTATTGAGTCTGCATTGAATGGATACTTCCGTTTCTCCATCTACCGAACTATCGTCATGCGAATTAATTCCAATTTTCCGTAGATTAGTATAATTCTAATCTTCTGACTATTGCCTGTATGCTCTGCTCTGCTCTTTGGATTTTCCAAAAATTTGCCACATTTTCTACCCGATTCAATTCGTTTCATTCAATTGGATTATAAGACGACTTCAATTTTCACAAAATGCCTCAAAGTACTTGCTTAGTATTAAACAGAGAGAGAGAGAGAAGAAATGGGATTTAGTTCAGTTTTTGCGAACGTTTTCGATTTAAGCTTAGAATGTTCAATATTGAGTCTTTTAAAATAATAGCTTTGAACTTTTGTGTAGATTTTTTTTTTCAAATTAATTCGAATTTCGAAAGTTAAAAATTTTAAAATTGAAAAAAATGCGTCCCTTTCATCACATCCATACTGAGTTACTTCAAACAATTTTCTTGCTTTCCAATCCATATTAAATGTTTCAACTTAAATGCTTATTCCTTTACTTACAGCAAATGACTAGCTCCAGCTGAATCTATATGCTGATATACACACAATGTATGTGTGACTGACTGTTTCTGTTATGAAAATCATTTTTTGGCCAAAATAACAAACATGACAATAGCTTTAATCCAATGAAGCAATTGATAACTGCTATTGGCAGCAAATGTTGTCTTTCCATCTCTCGTACAAAATTTCCTCCCCTTACTTAATATTATCATACACAAGTTCATACTCTTGATACAGTGTATTTTAGATGAAATGGAAAATTGTTTAATACCGTTGGAGAAAAGAAGCATCAAGGCAGTAAGCTTTATCTAAATTGCTTCATGATGTTCAATATAATAATATTATATTATAGATTCAATGGAACGTAAGAATAGACTTGTGTGAAAGAAAAAATTATTTTTGGCTGTTGAAATTGGCCGATTTTAATGCTACATTTATGGATCTCTTGTGGGTCAGGGAATGAATGCATTTTAACCACAATTGCAGATGATTCGAAATTCTTTTATTCCCTTTAATGCTTTTCTGAAAGTTTCTGGATGTTATCGAGGTTATTTTGTATAGTTTTTTGGGTTGGGGATTTTAGATTGAATGATTTTTGTAATTTTATTATGTCTTGTTGCCTTAGGGGCCATTCACTTATTACGTAACGCTTTTAGGGGGAGGGGGGGTCTAAGATTTTGTTACGGTTCAAACAAGGAAATTTTTTTTCATACAAATTTTGTTACGAGGGGGGGGGGTCTAAGAAGTCATTTTTTTTCGCGTTACGTAATAAGTGAACAGCCCCTTACTTGTTAGAAGTTTTTAAATTGTTTTAGTAGGTTTTGAACCGGATCAAAAGTTTTTGAACCGGATCAAAAGTTTTTGAACTGAATCAAAGCATTTTAAAACATCAATGTATCAAAAAATCAAAATCTTCAGACATAGTCAACTAATATACACTTCAACTTCCCAAAATCAACATCAGCAAACATTATATTGCCCACACTAATTCAAATCCTTTTCCGAAAACTCAAAAACCTCATACGTACACACAAAGCATATATAAAAGGAATAGAAACAATTTTCATTGAATTTTTCCTCTTTGTGGCTCAGAAAAACTTTCTTTCCTTCACTTTTTCTGTTACATCGTTGATTTTGGAAAGAAACACGATGAGAAGAGAAACTTTTCAATCTTTATTGGATTATCGCTATCTGAAAATTTTCGTTCTTTCCTTTCTTGCTTCCCATTCACATCGAAATTTTTCTTCTCCTACTCTTTTATATCGGCAAATAGTATAGTAAATGTAGATATTTATACAATATGACTTTAAGTATTTTTTTGAGGAAAAAGGGGTTGGGGTGGGGGTAGGAAAGGTATGAATGAAAAATGAATGAAAGGAACGAGATGAGAAAGAGAAAAAAGAATTCATTCGAGTGTTTGAGAACGTGATACCATGCATAGTAGCTTCAAATTGGAAATAGGTAGGCATAGAAAAGAGAAATGAATTCGTTATCGATATGGCTAAAGGCGTAGCAGCTTAAAAAAATTATATTTAAGTTCATGAATTAACTTCCTAGCAAAAGCATGTATTGAATTATTGATTTTGATCAAAATATAGATCTTCAATTAACTTTTCTATCGAAAAACCTTCATCTTTACTCCTTTACTTTAGCAAGAATAAACTGGAATAAACGATAAAATTATTGTTTATAAATAACGACCAAAATTTTTTTAAATTTTGTTCACGAAATCACAAAAATGAGTAACGTTTTTTAAAAATTCAAAAATTGTGTAGTTTTCTCGCGGATATTTCAAAGAAAAACATAATTTTTGCGGCATTTCATTAAAATAATTAAAATAAGTGAATTTCAGGAAATTGAAGTGATTAATTAACATTAATATAAGCTATAAAGGCTTAAGTGACAGTTTGAAATCGAAAGTACTGAGTGTCGGGTCGTGAATCAATAAGAAAAGAGGATTTTGTGCAAACATAATTATACACGTGCTATTGTTTTGATAATTTAGTAATTAAAATGAAACGAAAATTAAGCAATGAAACTGAGGATGAGGATGATAAGATGGCAACAATTGAAAATGGTAATTACTTACATTAGTTTCTATCAATTAATCGTTCAAAATAATTAATTTGTGTAATTAAAATAGATCCAGCAGCAAAAGGGGAAGTGAGCATGAAGGAGTTTGATGTAAAGCAGTTCAGACAAATGCTGAAGAAATCTGGAAACTTTTTTGATGGTAAATTACTATTGTTTAAGCCACAAAGTGTGTAATAAGCTTCTATTTTCTCTTTTTCCTGCATGTAGATCTGAAACTGTTTAATAATATTGCGACAAAAACGCCAGACATTGTCTTTGACTTCATAGCAAGCGGTGGCAAGTCATTAGAAGTTGTGGAAACAATAAATAGTCATCAAGAATCGAGCTTTGAAATTCTGTCAAATTTGTATATTATGCTGCATTTTATTATTAAGGCAAGCATCAATGACGATAATCTACGATCAGAATCAACTGTACAGGCATTAAAATATCTTGTGAATAAGAATAACACATCTATAATGAAGATGCTTTCGTCATCAAAGGCTACAGATAAAATAACAATGCTTAACATTCTAACAATTGCAGTACAAATTGACAGAGAACTTGGTCATGACATTTTGAAGAATGTTGCAATATTCTCTAAAGTTAATGAGAAAAGTGATCTTGCGATTTTTGAAGAGGAAGTAAAAGCTAAACGACAGAAAACTTCACTTACTGGTACAATTAGGGAGGCTTTCACGAACTTCTTTATGAGTTTCTTATTACGCGAAACAGATGCGATAATGTGCAAAAAGATTCTACAAAAGCATGCACTATTCGAGTTCTTCCTTCAAAACTTACATCAAGATGGGTATGATACAATTAAAGACGTCCTAAGTTGCCTTACAAAAAGCGTTTTGATATCTTCATCATTTAGTAAGCCTGAAAAATTGAAAATCTTTACTGATGATGCAGTTAAGCATCTTTTAAAACTTTACGAATGGAAAGGAGATAGTGAGGAAAGAGATAATGTTGTAAATTTATCACATCACTTCCTGATACTTTTACTCACCAATCGAAAACATGGAATAGCATTTAAAGGACTTACAGAACATCGTCAAAACTTGAGACAACTTCATATCCTTGGCATTTTCAAAAATGTTTGGATGCATGAATATCCTTCATTACTTGCGATTGAGATCGTTAAATCATGTCCTGATTTAATGCATAATTTATTACATCGTTTACTTATCGGGTTACCACCAAAAGCAACACCAAATTGGTTCATGTGCGCAAATTTCACAAAGAAATTAATCTCTGAAATCGATCCACCGGCAATGATGAAGCTTATTAGCACATTGGAAGCAAAAAAGATATCCAATAATATCATTCGTTTCTCAATGTCACAGTTTATTCTTCAGAATATCAATGAAAATGCTTTAATTCAACAAGACAATTTGGAGATTCGTGAAATAGCCATAGACTTATTGTTAAGGATGTTAAAGCAGTGCTGTAAATATTTGGATGAGCTGAGTAAAGTTGACACATTAAAAGATTTTGAAAAGCACAGAATAAGATTCGATTTAATTAATCATTTATTCACATTCTATCCACACATCGACATCATTTTGAATTCATTATATCGCAGCATTGTGTTTTGTAAACGCATTCAAACTGACAGAAACAAAGAGCTTGTAAAGTCTCAATTGAAAAATACACTTGATATCTTATTGCTACTTATTGAAAGCTTTCCATCAACAATCGAAAAGATTCCATCAGTCGTTGATTATCTTGAAACATTGAGACAAATTTACGAATATCAATTATCAGCTATAGATGACATCAATAAGAATGAGAACATTGAGATTGAAATGAAAATTGTCAAGATAATTTTATCGTTGCAACCAAACATTCTTTCATTAGACACTGAAATGTTTAATAGAATTTTTACGATTATGGTTCAAGTGCATTGTTGCAGCACAAATGAAGCCTATAGAAAGGAATCGAGGGTTTTGTTGTTTAGAATTATTAAAAATATTTCACTTTTCTCGTCGACCAGTGATTTGGAAATATCGATTTGGCTTGAAGCTTTTCGAAACATCCCAAATGGAATCTTAAAGGAATCGATCAATACATTCATTAAAGTTCTAAAATCAAATCAAAATGTGGCTGAAATGAACTTTAAATGGAACTCAGGAGCGGCTAAAACTTATGATTTGAGTCTTTTTGAGATGATTAATAACAGCGAGAGTTCTGGTGATAGTGTTGTAAGCAATAGCTGCCAATTAAGCTATGCTTTACCTATTTTATTAACATTTAAACCGGAAAAACTCAACAGAATCATTGAATTCATTGAAATGCTAACATTATTGCTTTATCATTCATTTCCGGAGATGAAAAAGTCATTTATTGCTTTACTGAAACAAGATAGTTTGGAAGTAAATACAAATATTGCCAATTACATCAAAAAGAAATCGCTAAACACTTTTGATGACATTATAGTTGGATGTAGTAAGTCAGTTTATAAAGAATTTCAACATTGCCTCGTTAACAATCGTGAGTTTGAAGAAATTTCAAGTGTTGATGGTGAAAAGTGTCAGTTGCTGATATTGCAAGCAATTTTCTGTGCAACAAAATTATCTCACAGCGATTTGCTGAGTGATGAAAAAATCTTGGAATTAACAAAATACATTAAATGTTTTTACGGAAAGATTCTTGAACTAGAAGCTGATAATAAGAATGGATTAAAACAATTAAAGGATGACAATGAAATAATTGAACAAAGTGCCAACAAAATTTATGAATGTGATGTACAATTAATATCATCGAACCTAGTAAGCTACATTTTTGAACACAATTCAATGCTTTTGAATGATTTTAACATCAATGAAATGAATCAAGTAACAAAACTCATTGAAAGCCTTCTTTCTGTATTTAACACAAATGATCATTTCAATCAGAAGCTTAAGAAATATTGCTTGAAGATTGTTCAACAATTAAAGGATCTTGATACACTTAATGAATCAGTTCTAGATGTCATTGGAAAGTTTCCATTTGAAAGTGATCAATATCATGATTTAATAGCATTAGTAATGAATAAGCCAGTAGATGAGAAGTCTATAAAAGCAATCAAATTGTGCATTGATAAAATTACAACTCCACTGACAACAACACAGATGGAAAAATTGGAGAAAATTTATGTTAATTCAGTTCTTAATACAACATATGATTTAAATGAGTTTGAAGAAAGTCTTAGAACTTATCTATTGACATTTCCTCACAGTTTAGAAGACATTTCATGTGAAATCTTTAAAATTGTCTTTCAAGATGATGTGGCATTGACAAAATCTTATTTGCAGTTAATAGTTCTGCTGTTTAGTCGCAAAAATGAATGGAATGAGCTTTTCATCAGCAATGCAATGAAAGTCAAGAAGGAATTTTTATATCCACTACTACATATTGCTTTTAAAAAGAACATCATTAATGACGATATGCTTAAACCACTTTATGCTGAATTCAAATCTGGAATTATAAGAGCAATTGAAAAGCCAAATAAGGCTGCACAGATTTATCGTGAGAATATTGAGTCATCGATACAGCTTATTAAGTTTGCAATGCCACAAAATGAATGTCGTGATTTAGCTTCGAAGAAGTTTAAATTTGAATCGAGCGCTGTCTTTCAAATTAATATGCTGCATGCTGTATTTACAAAAGCTCTTGAAATTGAACAAAATGATTTGGTCTTTTATAATTTTATTAATCATTGGATTCAACTTTTTGGACATGCTGAATCTAAGGACTATGAAGATTATCTTAATATTATGACAAAATGGATTGAACATGTTCCAGCCAGTGCTGAGGAACGAATACAATTAAATGATGAAAGTTGGACTAAATTCACAACTGCATGCTTAAAGCATGGACTGAAATCAATTGATCATTCACAAATGTTGGTTATTTTGGGAAAGATTGTTGCAACACTAAATGTTGATCCAAAGGAAGTTGTCAATATCTTTGACATGATATTTTCACATTCTAATTTCTTTAATCTTGCCTTCAACATGAGATCAATTGCTCGTAATTGGAAACGTAATTTGTTCTACCTTATCAATGTCTTAGTACAGAAAAATCCAGAAATTGCAAATGAAAAGCACATCCCAATCTTCTTATCGTCATATCAAGCCACAATGTCATCATGTGATCAACTTATTTTGAATTTACTTCGATTTTATGAGATTCGATGTGGAATTAATCTTCATGAATACAATCCACTCCTATTTGGACAAGCAGCTTTAAATCATTTTACATCACATGAACATAATGAATTGAAGTTTATTAAAAATAATTCGCTTGATAAAATGGATGCTGTCTTCTTTAAGCTTCTTAATCTTTTCGAAAAGTCAATGATTGAGAATACATTGAATAATTATCCAATTAAGAGACAATTGGCTGGAGTTAATTTAACAGATTTACACCAACTTGTGAATAATGATGGCGATGACAACATTTACGATCCTGGATATTTCTTGCCATTATTTGAAATGATTCTTACAAGTTCATCATTCAAGTTCTTATCAGTTGCAGTTAAAAATGAGTTAATTGCTTTAATACCGCCTGCATTATCATGTGAAGATGAAAATATGCGATTACTTGCTGCTCACATTCTTTTGAAGTGCCGTGAAAATACAGAGGCAAAAAAGTAAGTTTTTACCGCATTTTCTACGAAGAATTTCAAATTTTTTTCAACCGTTATTTTTCAAATATTTTTTTAACCGTTATTTTTCGTCCACAGAAAAACGAAAGGAATTTGGATTAGATATTATGATTCAATGCAGAAGGGAATAGCAGATGTGAAGGAAGGCACAAAATCTGAAAATAAAAATGAACAGCATTTTCCACGACCAGCTTCAATTTCGACACGTTTGTTGGCTGAATTCTGCAAAATAATTCCCAACAAGCTACATCCAATTTATAGTACAGTTTCAAATTATTTGATTATTAAGGACAAATTTGAATTTTCTACAATTCCTGAGTTGCTTGTACTGTTTCATAGCAGTGACATTCAACATGAAGACGCTCGATTGTTTATCCTTAATATGATTAATAATGGAATCAGTGATGGCTTAGACTTTAAAATTTTAAATAACACTCCATTCTTAAAGATGATTCTGTCATGCTATAAATGTCCTTTATCAAGCCGTAAGATTGACTTATTGATTCTTAAAATTGTTGATAAGCTCGTCATTAAATGTGAAAAGACGAAATTTTTAATCGATAAGTATGGACTTGGATTGTGGATCTTCCAAATATCTGTAAATGTTGAAGCATTTGAATATGATATTATAGAAGCTATAGTTTCATTGATTTATCACATTTTTCAATCTAATAAGGATAATGAACAAATTACGAAAATATTGAGAGAATCCTTAATCATACTGTTGAATAAGTTTACTAAAAGCAAGTTGTCGCTCAACTCGTTTTTGTATGTGCTGAAAGTTTTGAACCAAATGAAACATTTTAAATATATTAGTAATGATGATTGTACCATAATTCAGGAAATAGCTAGTGTTTTTATTCCAACTGAGTACATGTCACGAATATTGTACATCCAAAATTATTCTAAAGCCTGTAAATATCTTGAAACCACTGATTTATTTAGAAAATCTATCACTACTGATCAGTCGACAGTAGATGTCATTGCTGAAGCTAGAGAGTTTATGATTAATTTTTATACTACAAATAATGTTTAAAATTAAATTGTTAAGCTATATTTTAAATGAAATGGAATCAGATAATAATGAAATCTTAAAATTATAGGATTTATATTAATAAAGTTTGTATTTTGAATTCAGTAGACATTTGAATATTTTCACACCGCACTAAGACAGCTTTATCCCATAATCAGCAAGCCAGCAACTCACATCTCAATGCACATTTACGATAATATTCAAATCGTTAGGCAACTATGGAAGTTTGTAGCTTTCTACGTAAATTGTGTTTTCCCAAAATAAACTTTATCAAGTCTAAACTTTTTTCTAGCATCTAAACAACAGACAAACTTGACTAATACATGGCTTAATGCTGAACTTTCTGGAGGTTAAGAAATTTTTCTCAAAAAACTTCTTTGTGATACGTCTCTTGGGCATAACCTTTGAATTTTCTTCTTTCGGTTTCATACAATACAACAAGAAAGGAACAAAAATATGAATGATAAAAGGATGATGACTTAAGAGAAGAAAGGAAACTTGTGGAAGTGTAAAAGTTGAAAAGTCATTGAATGGGAAAATGTTGAATTGATGGCGCGTATTTGAATAATCCGTTGGGTTCGGATTTCTTTCGAGTATTGAGAACTGATATTTACATAGATTTGAAGCTGATATCATTTTTATTATGACTATTATTTGAAAAATAACAACAAAAAAATTTAACATAACGACAATATTGCATTTTTTGTTTAACGTTAAAATTGGGCGATTCTCCAGAACGGTGGAATTTTGAAAAATATGCTTTTTTAATCCAAGGTTATTTGTGTTTGGTTGTTAAAAATCTTTTGGTTAATATCTTTTAAATACATTTGAGTTTAAATATCAAAACAGTCTCAAATCATCAAAAATAACTACTCTTTTAAGTTTCATTAATAGATTTACATAATAATCAAAGATAAGGGTAGTATTTTAATTTTTTTGATTCGTTTTTCTGGTAATTTTTTTACGGATCGGTAAAATAAAAGCTTAAAGATGCTCCGTGACATAAAGTTGACGTTTGGAGAATCGATTATTCTCTTTAATTAAGCTGCTTTCCTTAGAATTTGAAGCATAAGTATTATAGAACTGATAATACTCTACCATTTGATATGCATTTCATGATGCAAACATAAGAATTTAATGGATACATATTGATTCTCCTATTGAATTTTTTGTAAAATTCCATTTTCGGTCACGGAGCATTTTATCGAAGAATCAAAATATCTCTAGAATTAAGCTAATTGATGGTTGTTACAATAAGTTTACAGATAGATAGTGGAAAAATACATCAGAAGTCCTGAAAACCTTAGTAGAAAAATCGGTCAAAAGAACAATTTTAAGTTGAAAAATTTTTGATTTCCCCTACAGAGAATTGCCCAATTGTAGTAACGTCAAACTTTCTAGCTCTACACCACTATTACTATTATACTATGTATGTTGTATGAACAATAACTAAGTACTATTTTGTTAATCATTGAAGCAGATGACAAAGAACTTTAGAATCAGTCTATAATCTCCATTTAGGCATCACCTAACATCGAAACGAATCCCAACCAACAAGACATAGTCCAAATATCAGCATCATTCTCAATTTCTTCAGCATCAAAAACTACAAACAATTTTTTTTTCTCACACAGAAATAAATAAATACCTTCCGAAAACACAATGGGCTTACACACAAAATATAAGAAAAACACATTGAAACACGTTCGTTCCTTACAAAAAAATAAAAACAAGTTGGTAAAAAAGAATAGAATTCCATTGGGAGGCTTGCGAGTGGTCTTGTTAAATTTTTCTTTTCATTTCTCTCTCCTTTTCCAATCCAATTCATACGGAAACAACAAAAGACTTTTAGGCATAAAAAGAAGAAAAAGTTTTCAATCCGAACTTATTTTTCAAAAATAGAAAAGAAAGTCATTCAACCCCTCACAAGAAGGTACGTTCTATAAAACTACAATTCTCGGCATCATTATGAAATGGATAGTCTCAAAAGTATCAATTTTCACAAGCTCAATTGAATGTTTTGTTGCTAAATTTGTTACTTAAAGATCTTCTTTATTTTGCAATTCACGTGCTTGAGCTTTAATTGGAGCAAAAAGAAGAATGAAACACCACAATCACGTAAGTTCTATAAACATTTTCTACAATGAAGATTTGAATTGAGGATCTTTAAAAAAAGTTTTTAAGGGGTTTTATTGATGATTTTTAAAGCAGATGTGTTTGATTATTATTGTTCTGATGGCTGTGCGGTCTATTGGCTTTTGTTTTAAACTACTTTGGAGCTGGTTTTTGGTCTGACGAATTGCTTAGCTTCTTTTGAACATGATCAAAAATTTTTGAACCAAATTGCAATTAGAATCAATTCAGCAATTATTAAAACCGGTTTAAAAATTTTAAATCTAATTTTACAATTTTTGAACCGATTCAACAATTTTAGAACCGATTTTACAATTTCTGAACCGGTTGAACAACTTTAGAACCAATTTAGCAATTTCAGAACCATCTCAGGAATTTTTGAACAATTTTAATATGTTTTAAACAAGAGATTCTCATTTATACACTACAAATGCTCCTAAATATGGTTCAATTATTCATATTCTTACTCATTTCCCCTGTTTCCACGTAGATGAGCTAGGAAGTTATGAATTATAATCAAAAAATTGAATAGAAGATGCCGCTATACATGACATAAATAACTATTATATAATCTTTTCTTTTTTAACACAAACATTTTTTATCTTACTTTTTTTTCGTACGTTGGCACCATATTTCATAGTAATATCGCTATTGTGAATAAAACAATCTTCTGAATGCCTCGTAAAAATTCAAGCACTAAAATGTGGAATGAAAAATCGAAAACTTTTTTTTTATGTCCCATAAACTTGTGTTATGTATGATTAATAGTTTTATGTTTGTGCTGGACTTACCTTCAATAATTCCTCTTCTTCGTCTTTATCATCTAAAGTGGCAGATAGAGATTATCGATTTAATTGTAGAATGAGAATACATAATGCATAAAGAAGCTTAGTTTAGAAACTAAAAATGGATATTTATGTTGGGGGGAGAAAAAGTTTATTTTATCAGATTTCTTTTCTTTTTTGGGGATGATGATACGATTGAAGATTTTATAGATCGATAAAAATTTATTTTCTTTTCTGGTGAATTGATTCTGTCTTAAATAATCTTTAAGGTTTAAGAGGATTTTATGACTTTTTTCCTCGAATAACAATTTTTATATTGAATGGAATGACTAATTTTTGTGTAATTTCAAAGATATTAAAAGGTTTTTATAAATTGTAATAAACTTTAGATTCTGTTTGTTATTAAGTTCATTTTAGATTTGAATAATATTTATTGTAACTTTACGTTTGTTCTTTTAATAATAATATTCATTGTTTGCTTGAATTCTGAAGAACTAGCTCTAATAGAGCAGTTTTGTTGATTTAAAGAATTCTATAAAGTAAAAAGGGAGTTGAACTACACAATAAGTCTCTTTAAAATTCAAATATAAAACAACCGGTAATTTTCTAATCTTAGAAAAACCATTATAACCTTATAAACTAGATTTTCAAGAAGTTCTTTGTAAATCTTAAAACGATAATCCCCAACGACTGTAAACAAGAACTCATTTTCGGAAATAGGTACTTCATTTTCGAACTTGATTTGAATTTAAAATTTCCGTTGAAAATATTTGTTTACATTTCTTAGTCTTTATTGAATTTATAAAATTTCATTTTTTTAAAATGGTCAGAAATTGTGTAATTACTAGTTGTAAAGGAAAGAAAACCAATAAAATACCTTTGTTTGAACTTCCAAAAAGCTCTGTGCATAAAGATAAGTAGATTGAATTTCTTAAATTGCATAATATTGAATATTGCTGTGAAAAAAAAATATTTCTTGCATGCTACGGACACGTCGAAATTTCCGTTAAATTCTTGTTTAAATTTCTAAAAACCGTTAAATAATTTAAATTTTTGGAAACCGTTACATCATTCAAAAAATTAAAATACGTTATTCAATATTCTTCTCAGTTCTTCATTTTATTTGAATTGTGATGCATAAAATTGCTTTCTATATACAAATTGATCTAAATAATGTAAATCCATCAGAACGACAACTTCTGCACTTTGGTAAAATGCAATTTGTCATTGCAAGTTAAATTCAGTGAGTTTTAGTATGTTTTAATTGATATATTTCAACAAAATAAATTTAAAGAAAAAAAAAATTTTTTTATTTGTTTACAAATTATTTGAGAAAAAGATAACGGTGAATTAAAATTTGAATTTTGTATAACTTCTTGTCAAGTGTCGATTTTTTGAATTTAGTCGACCTTGATGTCGAAAAAAGTCGATACTGAAATGTCCGTAGCATGATTTCTTGTGTATTCTTGAATTTATTTATAGACAGCTTAATAGTTTTACCTAATGTTCTGACCCTTCCTTTAACCAGAAATTCATCAATACAGCAATTGCACAAATTGAAGTCGATTTTGAACATTGTCAAGATACAATTGATAAATTATTAAAAGTTTTTGTTGCATTTAGAGTAAAATTACAATTTCAAAGTCGATTGGTATATAAAAGCAATAATTTTGCTTCACAAAATAGCTAAAATAAATATGTTTTTATTAATTCGCTAACGATCATTTATTTTTTAAAAATTTAATAGTTCGAAATTTTTCGAATTTCAGTTTGAATTTTTCGAATCTAACTGAAGTTTTCTTTGTTTGCAGTCGTTGGGATAATCCTAAAGTTATTCAAAACATTCTTTAAACTCACAAAAAAGCTTTCAAAATTTCAAATATTGTTTTAAAATGCTCCAAAAAATGAAAAAATTCAATTTTATATCTAAAGTAAAGCCAATCAAATAAACAGAATAAGTACCAATACTCAATAAAAATCGATTTGTAGAACTTACAAATTCTTTGTGTGTAAAATCGATTTGTTCCATCATCCCAATTCCTATTCAAGCAATGTACGCTAGGAAATAAAAAAAAAGCTATAGAATTATCTGTGCGACAATATGAAGTACATCCAAAGAAGTAAGAATTGTTGATACAACGATTTTTTTATGTCGAGGAAGAAGACGAAGGAATTTAGGGAAGATTGAAATGAAGATTACTGCAAAAAGTATCAATTTTCCCTGATTTTCTTCTTCTAGTTAGTTCTTTATAGGTGGTAATGCCATGTTGATGTCTCTCTAGAGTGCTTTTTATGGAAGATTGTGAGTGTTATTATTATTATTATTATTTATTTGTCGACGTTACCGTCCGGAAGAATTAGTATTTATACATGTTTTTACTTTTTACATTGATTAGTGATACATTTCATATCACTATGGGTGACGTAGAATCAAGCTTCTAATCTTCAAATCTAGGTTTCAAATAAACTAAGGCTCTCGTTTCAATCTTCTGTGGGCGTGACGTGATACATTTCAGGTCCGTTCTGACAATATTCCATTATAAGGTAATCTTGTAGCTCTCGTTCCTATTTCTCCCGCTACACTTCAAGTTCCTGATCCGTTCCTTAATCCAACGTTGCCCAAAATGCCCAATTATGGCTTGACTCGTACATTAAGCAGTCGAAGTATCTAAACTTCTGAAAAAGAACAAATTTGGAAATGGCTGGATTCGAACCGACGACCTTCGAGTTACCATACCAAATTTGAGCCAAGCGCCTTACCTATTCGACCAGCAAGGCACTTAACTGCTTGTGTAGATTTTTGTGCTGCATTTTCGTTGACTTTTTAAGTTACTTAACGTTTCTAAGTGATTATTTTATTAAAATTGGTAAGGAACGGGGGAGGATTTGGTCTTAACATTTTTTAAACGCATTAATTGACTTTATCCACAAGAATCTTTAAAAATTTGAAGATTTATGTCATTCTTGGTGTCAACCTAACCTCATTGTCTTTGAAACTTCCAAACACTAAGCTTACCGACCCCTTAGTTCCAAAAATCACCATTAAAATGCGTTTAAAAAAGCTCCTTTGATCATCAAAAGTTTCAACTTGAATGATTTGACAATACGGCATTCCATGAATGTCTTTATCATTAGGTGTGGATTACATTCATTTTTTCTACCTTGTTGAAAATTACCGCTTTTACCTTCTTATCGAGATTTCGATTCCATGTCTTCGCACTCTATCGTCTGTATCGTATCGCTTCCTTTATTTTATTTTATTTCGATTTCAATTGAATCAACATCATTGAGGATGTGTACGATGTGAGTGTATACGATTAAGGTAACGTATGCGTAAAAATAATAAGGAATAAGAGAAGCAGGAAGGAGGAAAAGGTTAAGGCATTGGATTAGAAAAAGAGAAACAACAAGCCATTTCTTATTTTTTGTATTTTGAGGCTGAATTTTAAGGATTTTGTGGTTTTATGGACAGTTTGGCATGCTGACTGGGTAGGATATTGACTGGAATATCTAAAAAAACAATAATTTAATAGCGTTTTTTAAAAATTTAAAATTCAAAGCCACCAAAAGTTTTGGTTTGAACTTTTGAAAACCGTTAAAATATTCCAATTTTTAAAAGCGCCCAAATTCAACTTCAATTCGATACCAACCTTAGTTTTTCTTATTCTTCAAATTTCTCTTAACTGTGCCTTTCACAGGTAAATAACATCGTAAACATCAATTTCTCGATTGAAGGGATTTTCGTGGTTGGTTTGTATTTTATGATAAGCATTTGCTTTTTTTTTATCCTTTTAGAATCTTCCATTTCATTTGCTTTTTTTTGCTCTCTTCGTCCTACTTCCATCTCCCGTCCCCAGTAAAAAAAAGTTCATCATTAAACATCATTCGTCATGCTATTTACATTGTATATCCTTCATCTTCTTCTTTTCCATGATTTAAAGCATCCATCGATTCAATTCCAACGAGAATGGGCAAGGTCAATGATGGCTGTAAGCGTATAATTTGTAGCAATCGTGCATCCAAACGTACTTGAATTTTATAATAGATCTCAATGATTTGACATGATTGACGTTGAGTTGGTGGAATTAAATTAGGAATTTTTATGTTGCACGTAAATTTTACTGAATGCTTTCGTCCAATCTTTGGTCCAGTTACTCTTGTTAATGTCCTTTCATCTATTTTATTATTTTCTTTTGGGATTTTACTTTGTCATTAAGGTTTGGATACGATTTGTTGGGCAGATGAATTGTGTGGACGGTTTGAGTGATGATTTCAGATTTTCATCATGACAATTCACATAGATTTTTTTTTTATGAATGAGAGAATGGAAAGGAAATGGGAAAAGAAATGTTTGAATATGGGTTAGGAAAATGAAAAATTGTGTAGTTTTTTTGTGGTATTTTTTTTAAAGAATGGAAAATAATCGAATTTTCGAGAGAACAATCAAACAATGAAAATTGTGATTCTATTGACTTGTCGTATAAAATTGAAAAGCAAACGTAAGATCGAATTTTAAATTAATTTAAAGCTTTATGTTTGGAGATTTAGAACTTCTATAAAGTTTGTAAATTAATATTTCTAGTTATATCTACGTAAATTATGGACGGTATTAAAATTCTCATTATTATATAGTTTCTTTGATTTTGTTAATACAAAAAGTTGAAGCTTTTAATGACTGTCTTGCGTGAAATCTAATGAGTATTTAATTGCTACCCTTTAAGCCCAACATAAAAAGGCTTAGTTCTAAGATTGTAATTTTTTTCTCTGCCATTCAAATGCTTTTTCTTAAGAAGAACAAAGAATAATATATAAACATATAATCGAAGTTTCTGGCTAGCCCCACAAGTTACTAACTTATTAAAGCTTGATGACTAGTGTAGTCTACAGAGAAACTTAAAAAATCGCTGTAAAATCCGATTTTTAAGAATATTTGGAAGAAAGCTACAAAAATAAATATTAAACATAGCCTGGAAACAGGACAATTTGAAATCGCATCATCTTAACGGAATAGATAACAAACAAAGTTAATCTATTTCTTTGATTCTAAAATTAGAATCGAGCAGTGTGTGTCGATAAAGAATAGATAACAAAAATTAAGACATTACATATAAATCGGATTGTTGTCATCGAAATATGATTTAAATTTAAACTTTAGGAATTATTAAGGTCTTGGAATAGGGGCAATTCTCCAGATAAGTTTTTCAAAAAATCATCCGGAGAATCAAATTTTCTCGGAAATTTTCCATTACCAAGCATAACTTTTACATTTAAATCGATGTAAAATGGCAAAAACTATTATATTTCATCTATTTTAGTCTTTGAAAGTAGCCAATAATTAAGTTTTTTCAATTTTTTTTGCAAATTACTGTCAGCAAAAAATGGAATAATCATCCGGAGAATCGAAAATTGAAGAAAAGTAAACACTCATTTTTTATTATGATTATGCAGAAATGTAGTTTTTGAGCTAATCTATCTAACCATAATCATATCCCACTCCAATTATTACTATTTAAAGAGAATTTTTGATTCTTTGGTGGATTTTTTTGCTGACAGTAAAAAAATTAAGCTTTTATTTTGCAAATCCATGAAAAAAATGCAAAGCAAATATTTCATAAAAATCAAATTTTAGTCTTAATTTAACACTTCATGGTTGAATTATTGTTGATTCAGTAAGAATCAATCGTAATAAACAGTTTAAAGTTGCTTTAAGCAATCAAAATAAAGAAATTGACAAAATATTAACAGAAAAAAAAATTGAAAGTAAACAGTAAATGACTTTGGATTATAAAAGCTCTTTTTTCAAAAACTCAACTCATTTGGAGAATTGCCCATAGCTTTAGCTGATGTACCTTAATAAAGATGATTAAGAAGAAGAACAAAATTGTTGTAAACACTATTTTAGAATCTCTAAAAATCCCCAGATGAACCGTTTTAGAAATTTCTCAATGCAAATATTCCAATTTACAGCATCAAAGTTACTTTTATTTGACTTTTAAACATTTGTTGCTGTACTTCCGAGAATATGTACAACAAATATCGAGTACGATAAAATTTATTCTTTGTAAGTTTCATTCTATTTAAAAATATTTCCAACACATTAAATAATTTCAAATGAACTTCTCAGCATAAAGTCACAAAGAATTTCAATTTTACAGACAACAACTGTCACCAAATTCCAATAAAACTCACCTTTTGTAGTTCGCAATTTGAATAAATTCCACAATAATTTTACTGACAACAGCATAGCTCCGATTTACAAGCTCAACGTTCACAGAAATATCATCGCCGACTATAAATTCTGTATGTGGTATACTTATTACAATGCACAATGGACGTGGAAATAAACAATAAGTGAATGTTGTTGATAATTCAGCTCTAAATGGATAATTTTGTGAATCATATGGACGAATTATATTATGTCCAATTATAATTTTAAATGGTCTAACTATTGTTGTAATACTTTCATCATTCAAAATGTCCAAAACAGCTGTCACAGTGTAGCGAGTATATCCAAATTTTCCCTCAAAACTCGACGGTAATGCTTGTGGCAATTGGTATATAAACGGAAATTTGTGTATGCCACGGTTTAACTGCGTAAACTCTTCCGTCTTCCCTAATGCATCATTATGGTCAAATATATGGATTATTTCCTTAAAATAATTCTCGAAATTTGTGAATGTTGAATACATTGGACTGTCGGAAACTATAAATTAAAAACAAAAATTGTACTCTTTTAGGGATATGATGCACAAAAACTTGCATGAGTGCTAATGACTGAACTAGTTTACTAGCTACACCACATACATACACACAACAAATGATATAATGATTTTAATGAATCTAATTACATGTCAATGACGGCCATTTCACTTCACCGATGCCCTCAATTGTTACATGGATATGACGAAAGTTTTTCTCATCCGATAGCGTTAATTCAATAATGCCTGGCGAAATGTATAAAATAAATCATTTAGGCTTTTTTTAATTGTGTAATTTTATGCAATGCTGCATCATTTGGATACGGATGAAAAGTCCGTGGGATGTCCGTGTTTCGAGAAGGGGTTGACTGTTTCGAATTCATTGAACTTTTCGCATTTAATGTGAGAGTTAATGGATAAATGAATTGACAATTCGAATTAATTTTCTGACCTATTTATAAAGGAGAATTGGAGAATCGATATGATTATGTGGTGGCTAGACGTTATTACTCTATGATGTTGATGTGGACCCACTTCAATGAGCTTTAAATTCATTTTCTAAGACTTAAACTAAAGATAGGTACATAAAAGTATAGAGGACTATGAAGCATGCTACAAATGACTTGCTATGACTACTTTAAATGTTTTGAGGTAGCTTGCGATTCTTAATTAGTTTAAAACTTAATTTATGTAAGACTTTCTGCTATTCAAAAGAGCAGTCGTTCTCAAACTATGTACCGTGGCACACTAGCATTCAAAAACTTCAAAATTGAGTCTTAGTATTTATTGAAAGATGAGCTGAAATGGCTCAGTGGCGGAATGGTTTAGTACTTCGGTACCTATTTATTGCAATACCGAAAAAGCGATCATGGGTTCAAGACTGGATATGGAAATTTTTTTACTTGTCCTTTTTCGAAATATATGTACTGGAAATGAGGCTTACAGCCTTCCTTTGTAGAATACAGGCAGAAATTTCATCAAAGGAGTGGTTAGGATCCCACTATAAATTATAGATCTAGGTTTGAGTGCAGTGGTTTGGCTCATTCTCACTCGTTAAAATCTCATTAGCTGCGAATCGCCCTAGCGCACCTCTGGATCACAATTGATTTGAATTGGTAAAGGTTTTCTTCCTTTTCTGATTGAAAGGTAGCTTAACAAAACTTGTGACCCCCCCCCCCCCCCCCCCTATGCGTTACAAAATATATTAACAACCCCAATGTAGAGATAGCTTAAAAGCATTGTAGTTCTCAAAAGCAGACGAAGCTCATTAAATATTATTTCCTAGAACCCTAAAAACAGCCAAACTGTACAGCTCAATACCATTAAAATAAACTCAAGTTCCAAGAATGCAAATCAGCATTTAAACTTTCCATTTTCTAGAATAGCTTCCACAACATGATTTATTTTGGCCAGTAAAATAATTTCGTCCATTTTCCATCCTACAAATTGAGTCGCATCTGTTTTGAAAGCTCGTAATTGTTATTACGTTAATATAATTTAAAGCACTGCTCGTAATGTTGAGCTTAATAGATTCAACCGAAAAAAGACAATTTACCTTTAAATATTCAAAACAAAATAAGTAAAACCACAATAATACGATTATAATATTGCGTCCAAAAATAATCATGTTGTTGTCTTTTAACTGCAATTATGGGTATTTACCTGATATCATTTCACCGCTCTTAAAATTGTCGTTATTTTCATTGAATATGATAGCACACTCGACCATTATTTCCCTTCACTTCCTATTATTGGTATTTTGTGTGTACGACCGTAGCTGTTTTTGTCAACATGATATGAATTTCCAAAAATAAACTGAAAATAAAATAGTTTAATTTTTTTCAATTCATGGCATCCTACGTAAATGTTTATAATACTACGTAATGCCAAAAAAATTACATTTTCTGCTTCCTGAATACTTTTTAAAGTACATCCATACTTTAATACTCTTTTGAAAAAATTGGGGTGTTTATAAATTACGTCTATTGAAAGTTGAGATTTTTGGACCCCCCCCCCTTCTGACACAAATTTTTGCTTTTAAGGGGAAAATCACTTGAGGATGGATCAACATTATTCAACGAGTGGTTTTCCCCCTGTGACTCAAATGTATCCATAAATGTATAAAGAAGGGGGAGGGTAATATTTGTTTTTTAATTCCAAAACTACTCCTTTAATGAACCTTTTGAAAGCCACTCTCAGTCTATCACTTCCATCCTCAAAGTTGGACCAAGGGGAAAACAACATGAAAGAAAATTTCCAAAAATTTAACATCACACTTAAATATTTTTTACCGATTTAAAGTCAATTCTTTTCCCATCATGTTGTTTCCCCCTCCAAGTTTGACATCATTTACAAACGACCCCAAAAGAAAGTAAAAAGTTGTAACTGAATGGAAAAGAGATGTTTTTGCTCGTGCCAATAGCATCGTCGTGCATGAAAATAGGAAGAAGACTCTTTTTTTTGTCAAATCATCACAGAAATGTTGTTGATGAAGGAAAGAGCTTTTTTAGCCATGCCTCTATGCTGCTTTCCTATTAAGTATTTTTTTCCTCACTCTCTGACGTTCTCATTCGGTACATACTTGGCATACAAAACACGAAAATGCTCCATTGCACAAAATTTTTATTGTTATTGAGATTACGATGATTATGGATGTTGTTATGGAAATAATAACTAAATTATACATAATCTGGAAGTGTAGGTAGTGAGGTACGATGCCTTTCATATTTATAATGTTGATGGAATTTTGTCATGATGAGCATTAAATATTATTCTGGATAAATGGGATGAATTCTTGAGTGAGTTTTAGGAATTTAACATTTTATGGGATGTGATGCTGTAAGTTATGATAAAATATGGATGGAATCATTATGAATAAATCCTTTTAAAAGCTGTATTCAATAATTTTGAAGTAGTGAGTAGCTAAAATCAAATTATTAAGATACTGAGCATTTTTGGTGAATTTTGTAGTTAAATCTAACGTTTTGTTGGTTGTATCCTTCCAATCTATTCTATAAAGATCTTAAATAAGATCAGTTTTTACATTTTCGCTCAGATTTTTCAATGCAAACAACATTTTTTTAATCAACTGACTTTTAAAATTCAAAATTGATTCATTTATTAATTGATTACATAGTTCCATGCCCCTGTTTTGTTTACATTTTTACAGAAAAAATTGAAGAATGCATTAAATCGAATTGACTGCTAATTGTGAAGCAGATATCTAGTTATCATAACCATCTCCGTAAGGGGCTGTTCACTTATTAAGTTCGCATTTTAGGGGGGAGGGGGGGTTTGAAAAATTGTAACAAAATGTAACATATGGGGGGGGGGGGGGGTCAAGAAGTATGTAACGTTCTAACTGTCGTCTGTCTTTTAAAAAAATTTGTTTACAAATTCACACCAAAAATATTTTTTTAAATTTTCCACCTTTTTAATGATTTATGAAAAATTATCAAAATAAAATAAATTATGAACGTTTAAGGGGGGGGGGGGGGGGGGGGTTGTGAGTTGTAACATATTGTAACAAGGGGGGGGGGGGTGAAAAAAGTCGTTTTTTTTTGCGTAACGTAATAAGTGAATAGCATTTAAAGGTTGATATTGTATTTTTATTGAAATGACGCTTCTAAATGGTATTTTTGATCGATCTAGATCTGAATCTAATAAACTGAGCAAAGTATGACTAGATGTTGCCTTGATTTCAACAGTATTGCAAAAATATTTATTGAACTTCATTCCAGAGAATTATTTAATTACTATAGAACTTCGGGATCTGTCTGGCAACATATAATTGGATAAAAAACTAGTTTATTTACAACTTATAATGTAAAAAAAAGATTTGTGTGACTTTTGAAGCTTAAAAAAATAACATCAACATTAGTTTCGATGAAAAACACATAAGAACTTTGTAAGCCTCTTATTCTTTTCCCTATTTATAGACCTTTCCATTTCCACCTCCACTTTAATCTTAAAGAACAAACTTATTTTTTCCCCCATAAAGCCCGAAAATCTTGTGCATTGCAGAAAATAACTAGTTGTAGGTGTAAATGACTAAAACACAATGATTCAGATTCGGAAAAAATGTTCAAAAATTCCTTGTGCACAATACTTTTCCGACACATTAGAAAATTGAAAGTTTTTGTTAATTTCTCTTGATTTGAATCTTTTAGCATCTTCTAGATAATGTTTTCGTTCATTGCTCAAAAAATCAGTCCTTAATATAAAGGATAAACATGATTTTTTACCAAAACTTTGTAAAAGTTTATCAAAAAATATTGTGCATGATCAAATTTTGTATGAAAATTGATGTAAACTTTGAACGCAAATATCTCGAAGACGGCATCAAACGGCATGTCCCCAGTTGTATGGGAGATAGATTTAAGCTTAATTAATTGATTTGTATAGGTTTCAGAGAGGTCTTTGGAAGACTTTTTAACTTATGAATAGTTTAAGTTTTGTAAAAATACTCAGATTTCAATTCATTTTTAAGGCTTAATAAGCAGATTTCTATTGAGTTTGTTGTTTTAATATGTAAAGCTAAGCCTAAATTAGCTAGCAACTGCTTTCAAGACATCCAAATAACAACTTAAAGTAGAAAAAATCATATGTTTTTTTCATACACAAATTGTAAACAAATTTTGGGTGAGATTAAATTAATGATTTCTGGAGTTAGACATCAAATTGGGACGAGATATTTTCATAGGATATGCCTTAAGTTAAGATCTTTAATCTGGCATTTAAAAGATGAAGTTTAATTAATATGTTATTTTTGAATTTTTGAACATTTTTTCCGATTCTGAATCATTGTGTAAAACAAGCGAGAAGGCACATTTAATTCCTTCTTATTTTTTTCATTCCTTTTTCCTTTTCTGTCAATTTTACGTGCTACCAAGGAGCAAATTGAAATTACGTGTTATGAATGCTTTTATGATAGATATTCCAACTCCGACCTGTAATGGAATGTAAAAACTAAAAGAAAATAATAAGAAGATAGACAGAATTGAAGTTAAGATAGAAAGGAAGTTCATATTTTGTCAGAGAATCAGATGAGAATGACATTCCTTAGCTGTAATGCTGATGTTTACACAAAAATAAATGATTTTCTCACTTGACTGTGCCAGAAAATGATGACAAATACGAAAATGTAAAATTAAGCACCAACTGCCATTGGGATATTAAAGATTGTTTGACAGAAATAGACTTTATGTACCCAGTAAAGTCCTTGATAACTTTTTAGAGCGAAAAGGAATTCTTTATTGGAAATCAAAACATTGTAAATTGGGACAACAACATGTCAAGGAGAGTCACTAGAATTCAATTCCGGTTCCGATGTACTCTTCCTTTCCTTTTATCGATATAGAAAATTGAAAATGTCCTTATTGCTTTTTATAGACGAAGCATTTTGCTTTAAGTTGATAGAAAGTAGGAAATTGATAATGTTTGTGTTGTCATTTGGATGCTACCTTTAAGTTTAATGATGCTCGTTATGCTTTAAAAGGAACTCGAATGGTTATTGCTGTACTGCTTAGATTAGATGCAAGCTGTTTGAAGTAAGGAAAGATTTTATAGGAAGTAAGGGGTGTTAAAACATGAATATAATAGATTTAAGGGTTGTTAAACTATGAACAAAGTGGCTTCTAAGGGGTATCAAACTAAGAATAAAGTAGCTTCGAGGAGTGTCAAACTATGAAAAAAGTAGCTTTAAGAGGTGTCAAACTATGAACAAAGTAGCTTCAAGGGGTGTCAAACTATGATAAACAAAATATTTTCCAGACATGAGTACTCAAATCAACTCTAATATTCAAAGGAGAAACTTTATTAAAAATTCATCAACTGTGCAAAAAACATCAAATTATTTCCAAAAAATTCTTCATGCATAAAAAAATTGAAATTAAGCAAAAAAAATCACACAAAATATCACAGATGAATACATAATGCGAAAACATTTTGCAAACTGCTGCAAAGACAGTCAAGCAGAAGATTTTATGACAATATTCAAAATTACTAAACAGCATAGGAGATGCTTGAAACAATCTTAGACTATCAGCAAGGATGAGACAATTTTCTTATATCCAGACATGCGGATGTACATGTATATTTATTTTTACCACATCGTGTATCGTTTTGTTTGTATAGTAAACACAATTAGTGTAGAGAGTAATACAGCATTAAACAATGAAATGCTGCTTGAGAAAATGGTATGTGAGGTGGGAGCTTGAAGATTAGTTTGTAGTTTTCTAGATTATTCGGTGCTTTGTGAGATGAATAGGGATTTTCAAGGTGAAATTGTGTTCTGATATAAAAAAGAATTTTGAGTTTTTGAAAAATAAAGGTTTTCGAAAATTGAAAAATAACGACATGTTGAGATTTGAATGATTACCTTTTTTTGATAATTGAATTAATACGGTTTTTGTCGATTTGAAAAATAATGGATTTTTTGAGGAATTTTCAAAATTCAAGAAATAACGGCTAAAGTACACATAAACAAGTTAAAATTTTCCGGCAACAGTAAATCCCTAACCACTTCACAATAAAGACATAAAAACACGGTAGAAGAAGCAAAAAGAGGAGATTAAAATTTAATTTACTTGTGCTTATTTTCTCTACTCAAACATATACATGTACAATTTATATTCCCTTTGTTGCTCCTTTCTGCGACATTATGAAGTTCTCTCATTACTATTATTATTATCATCGTCATCATGATCACTGCTCCTGCTGCTGTATGTAGTCATACCAATTAATCTCTTAGATTGCAACCATGTGCTTTTTGGTGTATTAAAAAAAAAGCAAACGACATTCAGTAAGTAAATATTCATACATGCTGAATATGTGCTTTTGTCAGCGAAGGAAATTGGGAATTATTATTCGGAAACTTTTGCCACGTTTTATTATTGAAGTTTTAATCATATGGGAATTTCCTTCATAATGTGAATTAAGCAGCTTTTAATGAGGACATGCGTTTTATTCGACAACTTTTTAATTATTATTTTTTTGTATATGCATGCGTTTTAATGAATGGTTTATGACATATCAGTTACTAAATGAAAGGCAATTTTGTTTAAAAATACAATATTAAAAAATAAAAGGTTTTTTGTTTTTAAGGTTTTTAATTTAAATATTTTTGAATACCTATCAACAACAATATTTGAACATAAATGATCTATTAAAACGTTATTACGAATTGAATACTAGCTAATTTAAGTACACACACACACACATCATTAAAATTCATCCATTTTCCTACATTCAACAAAAAGTTAATTGAAACTGATTAAAATTTGTGAATGTAAATAAATAACTGTTGTTTGATTTACTTATATACAGGATGAGATGTTAATTATGAAGCTATTTAAACAAAACTAAAGTATTGTGGTATTGGTTTTGAGGTTAAGGCGCTTTTGATTCAGTTTGGGAATGAAAATCAAAAAGATTTCAAAAACTTTATTTTTAAAATTTTAACAAAATTTTGTAAATTCAAATTTTCAATGGTTTTTAAAATATTAAAAATGAAAATTTTTAAAGTTTTTGAAAAGTTCAAATTTTCAACGCTTTTTGAAAACTTCAATTTTTTTCTGGTTTTAAAACATTTTAAAATTGGACGATTTTAAAAATTAAAATTTTTTAAAGTTTTTTTTTAAAAAAGTTCAATTTTTTTAACTGTTTTTGAAAAGTTCAATTTTTTAACTGTTTTTGAAAAGTTCAAATCTTTATCGGCTTTTATAGATTTAAAAAATTACATGTTTTTGAAGGTTAAAATTTTGAAAGTTATTGAAAAGTTAAAATTTTAAACAGTTTTTGAAATTTTTTTAAAGTTTTTACAAAGTTCCAATTTCTAACGGTTTTAAAAAAGTTCAACCTTTTAACATTTTTTTATATTCTTAATTTAACGGTTTTTGAAAATTTAAATTTAACCGATTTTTTCAAGATTTTTTTAAATTCATATTTTTAACGGTTCAATTCTAAATGTTACAAACATTTAAAAAATTATAATTTTAAGGATCATTAAATTTCAAAATTAAACATTTTTAAAAAGCAAAAAATCAAACTTAATTAGTGATCCTTAAGAATATCAACATCCCAACCACCTCAATAAAGTATTTAACTGAGATTTTTTGACGTTTTCACCAAATTTAAATTTTCCATTAACAGCATAAAGAAGACACAAAAAAGGAGATTCTAATTGAGTTATGCTCCAAAATATCTAAAACACATTCAATCTTGCTAAGCATGTATGTCATTTCCATCACATTAATGTGTAATACCCTTAACATGGAGTTTATTCAACTCACGTTTGTTGTGTATTTGGATGTGAACATTCACGTACATATTTTGTAAAAAATTCTTTGTTTTTTTTTGGTATGTTAATGTTTACAGCATTGTTAATAGCATATGGGAGCCTTCCTTTTTGTTCCTGCCTGATTTTAATCAATTTTTGTCTCATTAATTATATTTGGATGGAAAATATGTCCTTGAATGAAGCTTAAATTATTGCAATTAAGGATGCTTGACTTATATTTTATTGAAATATATCATGTAAGAAGCTTATAAAGTTTGCAATAATTGTGCATGTAATGACATGGTATTATTAACTTTATGGAAGAGTATGATTTGAAATTAATAGGAATTTTTATGGGAATCAAACAAACGAGCTTGCTTAATTATTTATTGAGTCATGGTAATTGGAGCTCATTGAGTTAGATCTCCTTTCCAAACATCCTTAAAGCAGAGCTCAAAGTCGATGAAATATTGTATGGAGTCAATTTCGCAATACAAAATCGATGAAAATCTCGAGTCGACTTCAAGCTCTGCCTTAAAGTGCATCAAATCCAGAGATGACGTACGGTCCTCATTTCTGTGTTCAGAAATCAAAATGTACATTATTTTCTCGTTAAATTTCAAAATTTGAATTTCTAAACGCACGCCTTAAAAATATATTTTTTTGGAAAATTCACATTTTATCTATTAATTGAAGACCTAAACTGGCTCCAGAAATGTAAATCATAATCTCTAAAGCTTGAGCAAGCTTTTAATCATATTCTAAACAAAGACTAAGTTGTAATTAAGGCAATTTTCAACAAACAAATTCAATGTTTATTTTTGGAGAATGTTTGATAGTGTTAGTGTGGATTCAAATATTTTCAAAAATTTAACGGCAATATTTGTGTTCGTCACCCTGTAAATTTAATTATCAATACAAAGAACAACTTTACCTCCTGTAAATCATCAAAAGGATTTTCCACAGCATTATCAAAAGATAAAAGAAATAATTGCACATAAATCCTCTTAAAACTTTTCCATAAAATTGAAAATATCTGTTAATGTACTGCAAAAAAAGAGAGAAAGACGAATTCATAAAAACATGATTAAAATTTCAGATTTTATGGAATGCAGTAGATTACATCATTTCCTTTCATTTATTGCATATTTATGTACACATAATGAACATCATCAGCAAGAACAACAACAAAAAATATTGCATTTTCAATTCGCATCCTTTAGTGCTCTCTCCTGACATTTGTTTAAACAATATTGGTAACCCCATAGCGTAGCATACGACTTTCCCAAAATCATGTAACTGCCAGCAAATAAAGCACGGTATTTGTGTGCTCTCACGAGTACAGCACACGATTCGAGCATATTTTTATGGATATTTGGATTTGTTTCAGCTTGCATGATTGTTTTGATGACGTCGAGGGGTGCTATAAGAACCCATGATAATACACTTGCTGTCACGATAGCCACTGATGTGAGAATCTCTTCTACTTTTATAGTCAATATACTTTGCTGCTTCTGCTGCTCTTGTGATTGCATTCTAATCGCCTGAACGAATGTAATTCTATTACCCGCCTCATACATATAATCGTATACGACAGCATATATGGCATATGGAAAACAATCTCGAAATATCATCGGTACTAATCCTCTATAAAGTCCATAAAGTCCCTCATGTTGAAAGATATATCTCATGCAATTCCATGATCGTCCTATGTAGCCTAATGTTTGTAAACGAATTTTCACAACTTCTATTGGACAACTAAGTAAAGCTTGCGTTAATCCGGCGGCACTGCCTGATATCAACATGTGAGTTTTAAGAAGCTCTTGCCTATGTATGTCAGATGAGCATCTATAATAGTAAGATAGTCTGTTATATTATGGAAATGATGATAATGACGGTAATGATTGTGATGAAGCTAGGATGGAGAAAGGAAATTAATTTGCAGCAGCAACTGCATATTTAGAGCTATTTTTAGCGCACGGTTCGTTGGTGTTTGTGTTTGCTGTGCAGGCAGTATGTCTATATGATGGAATCTACATCATAGTAGAATATTAATTAAAAAGGATTCTTGGTAAATTTTAATATTTTTGTGGCTGTTTGGACTTCATTTTAATTAAAAAGCATTGCTTCGAGAATCTAGTGTGCTGCATGTTTTGCATATATGGTGGAATATATATTTTGTAGGATGCTGTAATTCTAAGAATTTTTGTAATAAAGTCTTTCGCGATTTGGGTCAGGAACCTTGTCATAGAATAAACCTAATTTGTATGCTCATCCTGTATTCATATATCAAGTGCAGAGCCAATATAGGGGGGGGGGGGGGGGGCGTGACAAATATCCTTCGTAAGAATACCCACCTCCCTCCTTGAATTTTTCTATACAATTTTTTTCCTTCCTTCTCTATATATATAAAAAATGGGAGGGGCTGGGATGATGTTCAGAGAATTTTTACGGGGGAAACAACATGTTGTGAAGTTTATAACAGCTTCATAGAGATTAACAACCAATTTTGATAAGATTTCTTAAGAGTTGTTCATAAATGACGACCATAAAAGAACTAGATTTTAAGAACCCCTTTTAACGCTCCAGACCCCCATTTTCGGCGAAACTCTCCATCAAATATTTTTCTCATCATGTTGTTGTCCCCTTGAATTTTATTTTTAAATCTTCTTAATTTCCAAAAATTTTAAATTTTCTTTTTCATCCTTAAAAAAAGTGCGACAGACGTTTCGGACCCCCTTAAACCTCTAGCCTGTGCTACAGGAAGGTTTTAAGTATGAATGAAAAATGCGCTTTAATTAATAAAGCTTCCAAGAATTTTTTAATAAAACTTTTTCCACCGCTTTTCTGCTCTTTATTGTTCAAAATATTCATCCTCACCTGCTTTGAAATACTCTATGGAAGTAGTCGAATTGAATGTGAATAATGAATGAATTGTGAAAGCGAACGAGAAATTGAAGAAAATAAAAGAAAGGAAAAGAACAAAAAAAAATACAAAATGAAATTGTTTTAGGTACAATTTATATATTCTCATCATCATACCTCATCACATTCCCATAGAGTGCAAAGACAAGTGCATTTATTGTTCCATTCGTTAACAGGGGAAAATAGAAACCTTTATAGAAGCCATTTAAACCATTATTACGTATAATTATGTTATACATTGTTGTTGATATTCCTGGCAAAATGTTATTTTTTTTCGTTTTCACAACGTTGTAGAATAAATAGCATTAATTTCACATTTTGTTCATTGTTCGAGGGAAAATAAATATAAAATTTAATCGATTGCAGGGATGGAAGCTGAATGGTTCGGTGAAGATTGCTTTTTTCAGTTTAAATTTACAAGAATTTATGATTATTTTAAAAATTCAAATATTCCAGGGGTGGCAAACAGCACCGTTAAATTCGAAAAACAATTTTTAAGCTCAAAAGCAGAAAATTGACTTAATTACAATTCATTCTTTTAGAATATTTTGCTGGCTTGATTAAGCTTTAATCATTACAATTGAGTGCTCTGGATGCAGTTTAAGACTTTAATTTGTTGACGAAATGAAAATTTTCTAAAAAATTAATGGAGTACGTTCAGAAATTTAAATTTTAACAAGAAAAAGAATCTTCTTGATTTCTAAACACAAAAATAAAGACTATTTGCCATCCCTGATATTTAAATTTTTTAAGAATTTTTGTTTCAAAGTTAAATTTTTAAATAAACTGGACATACCATTCAGATACCAACCCTGATCGATTTAAAAAAAGGTAATAGTAATAGAGGAGTAGAGAACATAACATTAAGCAATTATGACAATTAGCAACTTACATTTCATTCGATAGAATGAGTTTCAAAGGTAATTAATGATAATGAAATTAAAGGCAATTCTGTTTTTTTTTTTCTTCGTTTTAAAAACGAGTTGTAAAGTTGTGTAATTAACTATAAAACGATATTAAAGAGTTGTCCTTATTCTATTAATTTGTTCAGTGTTGTTGTTTGTAAATTGTTCTAAGTTAAAAAATGAAATTTGTGAAAATGAAGGTTTTTTTTTGGATTTTATTTTAGTTTTGAGATGAAATTTAATGTTTAAAGTTAAAAATATAGTTTTAAAAATTATTGAAAATTGTCTCTTTTCAATAATTTTGACTATTTTATGATCTTAAATAAAATAATTTAATAAATTGCAATCTCTTTGTGATATTTGAACATAAAAGGGATCCTTTGGATGCAAACAGATTAAAAGCTTTCAAATATTAATTCAAATACGCATCCAAGTAAGTCTTTTAAGAGCACATTACTATTAAATAATTTCTTAAGTGCACCTTTTGACTATTCAATAAAATTTTCCAGGGCATTATGCATTTAAAATTTGTTTTACAAAACTTCCTAAAGCTTCTGGTCCATTGAAAACTTCAAAATATATTTCAATAATGAAATTATATTGATTTAAACTTATTCAATTGAAATAAGCAGCTTTTGAAAAGATTTATAACAAAATTGTTTTAATCCTTTGATCATTTAACAAAAATATAAAATTCGAAATGCTTCATTTTAATTAGCTTATACAAGCTTGATGCTTTTATTCATCGAATTTTCGATTAAAATAAATTTGAAGCTTTTGAACTTCCTTATCTGAGATTTTCTGATTTTTGAAATTTTTGGTATGAAGTTAGATTGATTTTGAAGTTTTTTGATAATTCACATTCTAGGTTGAAATTTTAGAGCACACCCTAGCTTAGTCTCATAACATGCTACGGGCATTTCAGTGTCGAAAAGAGTTGACCTGTTCAAAGTCGGATAATCGATCAACAAGCCGTAGTGACTCTGAATTCGATCTATATCCAGTTCCATGCTAGATGTCACGTCGGCTTTAAATCTGATTTCCGATCGATTAACCGATTTATGCTATTCCGGTAATTTTAATTATATGGGGTCGTTCACTTATGACGCCCAAAATTAACGGCCATTTTTTAAAAAGAACAATGGATTTCCAGGAAGTTTTATTGTTCATTTATTGCTGATCCCCCCTCCCTGGAGTCATAAGTGAACGGCCTCTATTGCAGTTCATGATTTTTACTCTATGATTGAAAGAAAGTCTATGATTAACTCGTTACGTCCATGGCATGAATTATGCAACATACTAAAGCATCTAAGGCTTACCATTCCCAACCTTTTGTCATAATAAACTCAATTCTGACTCAACGAAATCCAACTTTTCACCAAAAAATCTCTCTTACTTTTATTATGTTGCGGTTTCTTTAGAAAACCAGCCACACATTGATTCACAAAACAATACAAAAGCTTATAATTTAAAAAAGGACGAAAACTGAAGGAGAATGAAAAGCACGTCATCATCATCAACATCATCGTTGAGTGTGGAAATGGAAGAATCATGCTTTTGATGAAAACGACCTGACATTACCAATGATGAAGCATGTATGGCTGCCTTTTTTTAAATACATTGTGGGTTTACATGTAGAAAATTGTAAATGGTGATAAAAAGGAGCAAGGAGGATGTATAGATCCGAGCATATGTTAGGATACGGAAACTTTTTAATTAACTTACTTGTTTTATAGACTTGTTGCCATGTCTATTCAGAAAAAAAACGAGAGGAAAAAAAAGAAAAACTAAAATGTTGAGGATTGGAGTGGACATGATTCAGGAGAAAAAAAAAGTTTTAGTTTTTTTTATTGAGTGGCAATTTTTCTTGTTTATAAGTTTGTGTGTAGATCCTTTTTTTCTTATAACTGATAAATTTTGAATACTAGTGTGTGTTGAACTAGCTTCCTCTGTAAACTGGATGTGTACTGAACTTGCTGGTTGATAGAAATCGAATCAATTGCCGAGAAATATTCAATTTTGATAATTGAGAACATAGGGATATCATTTTTAAACCCCCCCCGCCCTTCAATATGCTAACACCCACTTTCTTCTCATGTGATGTCTTGAGTTACTCTTTAGGTTTTATTTTCTATCAAATCTAATTAAACTCGATAGCCAAAATTTCTCAGAAAATCTTCTGCAAAATTTTATCTTTCAAACTTCCTTCATCTTGTCTAAATGTGTACTTTAGCTGATATTTTATCTGTTTCTACTTAATTAATTATTTCATTGGTTACCTTCGAGCAGTTTAACAAGTCAATTTTGATATTCCATTATTTGAAAGTTCAAAACAATTTATGTGGGCATAATGGAATCTGTTCTGTGTGAAATTCAACAACACTCAACTTATCGGAATGTGTTTATTGAGTGTTAAGTTGAAGGTTATGGTTTAAACCAGAGGTCGAAGCGAGCATAGCGAAGCGAGTTTTTAGCGAGTTCGCTTCGCTAAAAATTCAACTTGCTAAAGTCGACCTGTAGCGAGAAATGTTTTTTTCTTTTCGCCTTAGCGACCTATAGCGAACTCAATTTTATTTTTTTCGCTTTAGCGAACTATTAGCGAACTTAATTTTTCAAAGTTCGCTATAGCGAACTATTGGCGAACTAGAAAAAATTTTTTGGCTTCATGTAAAGAGATGTCTGATTGCGTTTGTGAAGTATGTAATTTCATACAAAATTGCAAAAAATTATAGTTCGCCAATAGTTCGCTAAAGCGAACTTTGAAAAATTAAGTTCGCTAATAGTTCGCTATAGCGAAAAAAATAAAATTGAGTTCACTATGGTTCGCTAAGGCGAATAGAAAAAATTTTTTCTCGCTACAGTTCGACTTTGGCAAGTTGAATTTTTAGCGAAGCGAACTTGGCGAACCAAGTTCGCTTCGACCTCTGGTTTAAACTATTAAATATAATCCCGGGTGGACAAAGTACTAGTTAAAAGCTTGCCATTGACTTGCCTGTTCATGGCGAGTAAGTATCCATTGACGTACCTTTGCAACTAGACTTAGGGACGACTAATGACATATTTTGCGCTTTCCATTTAACTGGACGTAGGAATTGCACATATGTCTAGTTAATGTCCAGTTACAAAAAAATCGAAATAAAATAAATAACACGTGACTTTTTCTCCTTTTTTTTTCTTTTGTAAAATTTTATTATTGTAGTAGTGTAATTAATTAATTAAAGTACACTAAGACTTATGAAAAATCTCTAGTAAAAATTGAGTCTCGAACACTTGCGCGTGAAACATTTATATTCACTTAAAAGTTTCGTACAAATTTGGTGAGAACTTATATAAATGATTTCTGCAAGCGCTTGTGAAGTATATGGTCAAAAAAGTAAGGAAAATTATTTTTGAGTTTCGAGCACTTGATTGATTAGCATGAATGTCCAGTTAAAGTCTAGTTAACGTCTAGTTCTTTATGTCGTATAAATTTCGGCAAGTTAAAAGACTGTTAAATGATTGTTTAATAATGGACATTAACTGGCTATGTCCACCCGGGAATGCATAACTTTGTTTACTTCTTAGTACTACGAGTAATCCCGATAATATTGTGTTTAAGGTTGAATTTGATTCTATCAGACTTAACTCTGAAGCTTTGTTTGATTTTCGGGAAACAATTACAAATTTAATTTTAAGAATTTATAAAAAAACAAACTCGAGAACTTGAGAATTGATCAAGAACTCAATCTAACCTTAATTTTCTTCTTTTAATCTTTGCTAAAATTTATTCAGGTACAATATTTTACATATTTTGTACAGGAAGCAACCTTTTCATACCTTTATCGTGTCCATGGGATGTCCAACAATAACAGCACACGCTCCTAAAAAGATTTGGTTGTTAAAAATAAAATGAAGAAAAAATTTAACTTTTGCAATAATTCTGCTTCACAACCTATCCATCCTATGAATATTAATTTTCATTATATATTTTCTGATATAAATTTTCAACAAATGAGAGAAAATAAAATAAAAAAAGAACGAAAACTTTTCATGTCTGATGTACGAGAAAAACTTTCTCCTTCTTTTAATAATCAAGAAGATTTTTTTTTCCTTTGCCGTTAACTTCTTTAAAAGTCTTTTATTTCATGCCTTTATGAGAACCTTGTAAGTACTTCAGAAGAAAACGAGATGTTGAAAGGCCAGAAGATAGATAAGAAGAACTGAGAAGTCAATTTCGCATATTTAAAAAACGAGAAAGTTTTCTTTCGCTCTTTTCCCCTCGCTCATCATTCAATTCACTCTTTGCAAAATGTTTTGTACTTTACGCTTTTATTTTAGTTTTATTGTTTGAGATT